CTGACATTCGCGCCGCATGCTTCATTTCAAAATAACATCTTTCATTCTATTCTTTCTACATTTACATTTTAGCACGCCTTTCGTATTTTTTACCGTGGCCAATGTATCATGACAGCCCGGAGTCGTGAAAGATTTTTGGAAAAAAGGCGAAAAAATCAAATAAACGTTTCATCCTAAAAGAGAATCACATGAGCTCACAAACTATACAAAAAAAAATGTTAGCTAAAAACGTCCCGGTGTATGTAAATGTTTTTCCCACTTCTTATTCCTTCGACGTGTTTATTTTACTACATTGTGTCTCCTGCAACAAGTGTGGAGGCAATACAACTTTTTAATATTTATGACGCGTTTACTCGATCTTGTCTCGATAAATACACAAACCGGATGATTATCCCGGAATTTATATTTCCGGTAGATGTTGACGCTTCATTTTTCATTTGTTGCGACGTTTTTAAAATTTACGTTTTTACTTTTATTGCACGCTATAAAAAAGCATTTCGCGTGAGCGTCATTTATTTTTATGTAGGGATAACCATTTTGTGTCCGGTTCGATTTGTTTTTACTGTTGTGAAAAAATCTTAATGGAGAAGTCCTAGATTCCCCAGAGTCGACCCTTCATCGTTACTTGACGTCTCTTCGGGTATATAAATAAATATAATCGTTCGTTCAACTAGAGACTTCTTCAATTATTCTTTAGTTTGTCTTACAGGTTAAGACTACCTCTGTATTTTTCCATCACAATTTCGAAAAGCTTTATTTCCCATGAGGGACAAGTCCGGCAAAAGCTGTAATCGGAAGAACGACTGTTAGATTCCAGGAGTTTTAAACGTTTCGGCGGCTTACCTAATGTCACGATTTTAATTAGTTAAACCCGAATCTATTGTCAGCTTTGAAGCGATTAATTGTTCATAATCGAGCCTCCGACCGCTATTTATATTTAATTAACCCATCCTACTGAATGGATTTGACACTTCCATTTTCTATGCTACAATTGTTTTAAACGACATGGAAACTAATTTACCCTAGACGTTTAACAAACAATGTGTACCAGTCACCCCTCATATTTACCTAATAAACTGGTACTATACCTTTGTCAAAAGAATCGCAAATAGGCGGGAGCGTATCACATTACCACGACACAATGCTATTTTACAAAATTATTTCTTGTCTATTGTTTGCAAGAGTTACAGTACGCTGTGATATAAAAATATAGCTAAACTGCATATCTTATAGAGCATTCCTCTGAGATGGTAGAGTTATCATGTACCCCTGCCACCCCATCATCTAGCTACCTCCGTCGTTGTGTATTTCCGGGCAGTATCGCGATATCTCACGAGATTCTCAACAATAATTAATTTTATCTCGAGCACACTTTCTGACTCTAAATCAGAACGATAAATTACACTTTCTATAAATTACCCCAGTGTAAGATGTGGTTTATCTCAAGAACACATTGCATTGCCTGTTAAGTGTTACAATTGTTCCTTTATTCAAGCCCTCTATAAATAAACACTTGCCGACATTCAACAGTCCTCACCTTGGCATACTGGGGCCGCTCCTAAACTCTGGTCCCAGATTCGTTCTTATATTCTTATTTTTTTCAGCATTCTCGGCGTTAATTATCGCCTAGGGCAATTTTCTTGCATACGTGAGTACCAATCGGGAAGTTTTCAACGACGAGAATACGCCGGTGATTGATACACCCCTAATATAGCCGGTAAACAAAGTTATGAACGGCGGTAAGCCCTATGAAATATTCAACTTAGCGAACCGTACGTTAATATCTGTTGGCTTTAATAGTTAATGTTGTCGAAAACGAGGAGGCGCAGGGTAGTTCGAATGTTCCCTTTTTCCCCCCTATTAAGATCCACCTGAAAAATAGTGTTTCCAAAAGCCATTTTCCTGGATTACCGCTAATCTTTTCCCATATCCGATTTACCGGCGTGAATTATTTTCCTAACGGTTTAACTCCGGGCCTCGATTCGACCTCGGAATCTGATACGCAGGTTGTCCCAAGTTTCCCTTTAAAATTAAGAGAAATTTTTCGCTAGAGAAAAGAATAATTTATAACAGTCTACAATACAACAGAGAACAACACAGATTTTTTTAGAAATAGATCTCTTCCATTACCAATGAAAATTTTGCATTGATCTTAAAACAATTTAGTCTTATGTAAATGATGCCATCCCGTCCAAGGGCGACGCTGTCAGTTCGAATAGTTGGTATTCTGTCAGACCCCTTGTCACCGCTGCCGCTCAAAAAACAAAGCAATTACCGAGAGGAAAGCGAAAACGCGATTTATTTATAATGATAAAAGAATTTAAATTGAAGTGCTCGACGAGAAATGAACGCGTGCGACCCGAGAAGAAAACGTTCTTGAGGGGATTGGTGGCATTGGAAGAAGGGGTTGATTTTCCACTCGAGTCAGGAAAACAGTGAGACTGATTAATTGCAAGTTTACATCCACACCAAGATTCAGAATGTGTTTGGAACAGATATCTGACTTTGATCGGAGCTTGAGAAGCAGGGTAATGATCATTCCGTTAATTACTGAGTTTATCGGCAGAGAATAATTTAATCAGATTCAAATAATGGGAGACGCAAGTGGAGCATGAAGAAAATTAAAAAGAAGACTGATGAATCCGACCCGGCGCGCGGATTGTTGTGAAAGTGAAAACATTTGCCGCCATTAAGTTACAAATGGTTCGTTCTTAAACCGAGCTCTTGAATCAATTAGTGATTTTTAATTTAATTTAATTTTGAAACTAACTTTGTTAAAGATCCAGACGAGACGTTCTCGTGTTTTTTCTCTTAAAAAACGATCGGTTTAAAGTTTGGATCGGAAGCGATGTTTCTATTATTACTATTGGAAGGAAGTTGCGAAAATTTTATGGCACCGCAGAGAAAGAATATCGGCGCAGAGTTTGCCGAAGTCGACACAATGACAGTTTTTCTGTTTATCTATTTTCAGTTAGATCATCGTAAAAAAAACGTCTCGACACTTGCTGATTTATTGGAACGATACTGAGGCTGATTTCAAGAGTTATGCCGAGGAATCAACAATTTTAAGCGTAATATGTGAAGTCCAATAATTAACGAATCAATTTCCAACTTCAAAAATGGTAAGTTTTTTACCTTCAATTAAAGTAAAATCAACAACCCTTCCTGCGGTTGCTTTGTTAGAAGCACAAATTAAAAAAAGACTTGCAATAGTATATTACAACCGAAGAGAGAAATTCTGTTTTTGTACTAATTTATTCAAACTTGATTTAAATAACAAAATGTTATTCTGTTATTCGTTGGCAATCCTACCATAAATCGCTTCCCAGCCAAGAAATAGAAAAAAATAATTCCTGACATGTAAAAAGTTAGGAATCGGTATATGTATTACTATAGTGATAGTCTGGTAGTAAATAAAAACTAATAAAACTTCATTCGGAATGGAAACGAGTTAAGTAATTGGTAAGCCGGGCAATAATGTAATTGTCTCCTTTAGCGTCAAACCTGATCATTACCATTATTAAAATAGATGTCGCTCTAATAAATTACCGTTACTAATTACACATATTACGCTAACGGTGCACTAAAACTACAAATGGTTGATGTTATACAAAGACTTGCACAACGTTATACATAGGATCAAGTGTGGTTTATTTAATAGAAAATGACGACGTTATTAAATTGAAAGCTCGGGATTTGATTTAACTCAACTATTTTCTGGCAAGGGGAAGGATTTAATAGAGTTATTTGTTTCCGAATTCCGACCGGTCGCATGTATTAAGGACCAAGTACTATTGTTCCTTGCCCGCAAACAGGCATTTAAACATCATAGCGAACTTCTCTACCGACAAACGTAACTGTTCAGAAATCAAGACTATTAAATTGGTCGTTCGTGGTCAGTGATCTTGAGGGTTTCACAATCTGAATACGAATGGGACCGCAAAATAGATAGGTATTAAACCGTACAAGCGAACTTAGAATCCGCTCACTATTCACAGAATTTTGTCAAATCTGTCGACATACATATAATAATTATACCATGTTCGATAGAAGTACCAAAATTGTGGATGAAAAAATGAGTTTAGCTGTTTTAAACTTTGCGAGAATTGTTCCGAAAGTTGTTTATAAAATTAATACATTGTTATGTATTTTGGCTCTCTAATGATTTATTAAAGTACAACTACAAGGGAGGTTAAGATATTCGCGAAATACATTTCTGCAATTATTTTTGCAATTACATTTGCAGCTTCCAACTAGTTATTTATCCCCTCATGTTCGAATTACAATTAGATAAGCCTTAGGTTTGGATTATAAAGACGGTAAATTTACCTTTGACGTAGGATAGTAGTTTGCAACAGTATCAAATTAATTTTCTATATTTCCAATGGTTGCTTCGCAATGACCTGTTTAGTCAGAAGCTATTGAGCCTAATAAATCGCTTGCACTCAGTACAGCATTTCTGGGTTGTTGCGAATAATATCCGCTGCTTCAAAAATGCTACTTTAGGTCTCATTTCTACGTCGCTTACTCATGTTTGAAAAAAAAAAAGGTATTTTTCAAGCGAATTTTACACTAAAAGACTTAAAAAAAATACCATTATTATGAACAAGTTTATTAACACATGCGTTTTCGTTTTATTATCTAACACTCTATTTTTGAATTTATTGCGATGAAATAATCAAGTGAATTTAAAGATTTTTTTAAATTTGCAAATATTCGCTATGTCAATACATCAAAGAAATGATCAGAAATATGCATTAAATTAATACAAAACATGAAAAACTTCATGAGGTTGTATTATAAAAAACGCCCCAAACCATAACTTCAAATATAACTTCATCAGGTCGGATTATAGAAAATGCATCAAACCATAACTTTAGGTATATGTAATTCATACATAATTATTGATCGAAGGTCTATCCAAAAGAATTGCACACAATAAACTGTCCAACTTTGTTGTCTTTTATAGTGTTAAAATGTGAAATAAATAATGGACTTACTTTCGAAGACGACCAACGTGGCGTCGGCGTTGACGGCGTCCCCGACGCCGTTTTCGGCAACACATTCGTAGTTGGCATCGTCTCTTCCTGCTTTAACAGGTTCAATTCGTAGTATAGATCCACCGTCTGGAAATTCTTTCACTTGATATCGCGTCTGGGAACCTGAAAGGAAACCTCAAATTCACTACGTGATCCACATACGAAAGCTGGCTTTGGAAAGGTAGCAGGATTATGAATCGAACACTTTAACGGCCGCGGGCAAATCAGCTCTCAAAGTTTATTCTTACAACATATGCTTGAAGTAAAAAAGAACAAAGGGAACCGAACTGGAAATGTCTTTTCCAGCGTTACGATTTTAACAAAATCTTTAAACAAACCGCAAGAGCGTTGTAAAATGTTCTTCGTATTAATGTCGCTTGTTATGTGTGGATGTTCATGCGAGAATTTTAATTTCATATTTCTAAGGTATAACATACAGCGTAGTAGTGAGTTGACAATTTACCAGAGACATTATGTTACAGCTTAAAAGTGCACTTTTTGATTATGCACTTCACTTATCGCGTGTGTAATTCAAAGATAGCAAGGATTCGGTCAGGATCAAGCAAAAGTTACAAACTCTCGTTCGGCTTTGTTCCACAATTTTATCAAAATAAATCCCTAAAACGAAAGTCCACCATTACCAAAATTGTCTGATCTTTTGTTTCTTATCTTATTATATTTACCGACTTATTATTATGATCACACGATGTTATTTTTGTGTTATGTAATGAGAGATTTTCTTTGGCGGTAACGAGCCGAGTAATTAGTTGCAAATTGTATCGTATAATTTTGCCCAAGAGCTCCCGTTTCATCTTACCATCAAAGATAGATTTTGCTCAAATAATATGTTTCGTTAAAATTCGTTAGAAGTGGTTGGAAGAGAGCAAAAAGACGGTAATATCTCGCTTCTCAGTCAAACATAATCTTTGTTCTTTTTCCTTCTTTTCCAACTCTGATTGCACTTTTATACCTCTTTGAATTCACCCCGACCTTCATTATTAGTGAATTATCCTGTTTTACTTCGAGAATAAAAACAAAGTTAGCGAGCGGATTGAAACTTTTCTTAAGTGAAAATATTTCACCTCATTATAAAATCGTCACATACATAACTCTTAATCGAATTTTTCTCCTTTTATCTATTCTAGTGAGCATTTATCACTTAATTTTTTTGCAAAAGATGACAAAAACAATATTTTCATTCATTCTGCATGTTTCAACTAGAGTAGTAATTATAATTTGGACAGTGCCGAACGCACTGATTAAAGTCACTGATCCATCTCGGGGGTCATGGAATTTTCTCATTAAGTCCGTAAAATTAAAGCACTTTGCAAAGTAGAGGTTTAGCAAGGACGAATAAAACGGGACAGATTAAACTTGCACGCAACTATCCAGTTTCGTCAACTATTTCCAAGAGTTTTGTCTTTGCCCTTCCAACAGGTTGCTTTGAAAATAGAAGAGCTGTCAGTAATATTCCACATTCAAAAACCCCACATCAAATGTTAATACCGCCAACTACTTGGAAATACCAAATCGTTTCAAGAAAACTACAGAACATGCACTCTTTATATAAAAATTATTTATTTATCCCGGCGCATTCACCATTTCACAACAACTGGTCCAAGTTTCTTTCTTATCTAGAATTTTATTTTGTTGTGTTGGACTTACCTGACACCTTTTTCCCGTTCTTTTTCCATTGGATGACAGGTCGTGGATCACCTCTGGCCGCACAGTAAAAAGCCGCTATGCCACCGGCCTTGACTTGGAGGTTGCGAGGCTTCGTGGTGATCTCGGGAGGATCTGGAACATAAACAGTAACCGGGATTAAGACAGACTCCGACAACAGCTCGCACACCTGGGGGTAATCTCACCGTTTCATAAAGCGCTTTAAGACGTTCAAACAGCTTAACAGCGCAATTGTGGAATTTCAACTAGGAAGGGTTTGCTGATATTTTGGTCTTTAAACATGATAACCAATTAAGATCGCAAAACTCGGAAAATAATTCGGTTAAGCTACGCCCCAAATGTCGAAAAAATATTAATTTAGGACCTCATGAAAGACATTTCGATATGATTAGCGTTCTCAACCCGTTTCTCGCTCGAAATTATAGGAGTATTAAAAACTAGGTGGATTTATTAATGCGGTGGCACAGCGTGAAGGTATTAAGCAAATGAGATAATTTAGGGGGAGGGGGAAGAGAGTTGTTTCTTTTTCATAGCGTAATCAAAAGTGCCTGTAATTAATTACAATATGGCAGGTAAATATTACAATTGTTTAACGATCCAGTTGCGTGTTTTGAAACGTAATTAGGTGTACGTTATCTACATCTGAATTAATGAAAGATGTATCCAGGAGTGGAGCGTCAGGTATGTACACATAATCGCGATAAGACGAACTAAATACGTCAGAGCGATGAAATACTAGTTTGTTTTCAATAAAGAGTACATTTCCTTCTAAAATGTAATTACAGACGATCACTTTTCTGAAAGTTGGAATTTAAAGTGCGACTGTCGTCCGATAACATAATAAAAATATTCCCACGACGTAATAAATTCCAAGACAAGAAACTTCTGCTTACAAACTTCGTTTCGAGCCTCTTCCAGAGATTATAATAAAATTTGGAACATTGCTGTGAAAACGTCTCATTTAGAAACATTCACAGAAACTCTTGTCGAGCGATCTGTTAATGCTTCATTTGCAAGTCGAACGATTGTATTTGGGAATTTATTTTACATGGAACCACAAATTAAAAGACATCGACGACAAGAAACCTACGACCAATGAAACGCAACTGCTGAGATATTCATTCAATTACAAAAACACGGTAACTTTCATGTAGCGATAAAAAATCAGGTCTGATCTAAACCAAGTGAAAGAATTAGATGTAACAAACATCAAAAACGTGTTACAATTACTGTAACTCGTAGTAATTGATACACCAAGTTATACAAAGTTGTGTCTCGTTTTCATATTAATGTGATTGGAAGGAATCATTTTAAGGTGGCAACCATGCAAAAAATCAAACAATCCAAAACTCAGTCTTTCCTACAAATTATACAAATTATTGTTTCAAATAAATGTGTACCCCAGAGAGCAAAAAATAATTAACAACCCAATTAACATAAGGTAACAAACATAAAGATTTTTGCTCGGATTTTTGTCATTATTGATGTGATTAAATTTGTTTTGAATGACATTATTGACACTTTTTGTGTCAATCAGCCTTTAAGTTAAAGCACGGCCAACTGTATCTATCTCCACTTCGTTCCGATACGGCCATAACGCTCCTATACTAGCCCATAAGAAAAATAAATCCTGACCTTGAAAAAAAAGTTCGTCAAGTGGAGCTCCAAGTGGCAAGTATTAGAATTAAAACTGACGGAGAATGTCACCTGGCTGTCAGAATCTGCTTTAAGGTTATAACACGGACAAAAATAAAATTCCAAGTAAAATTCATACATACAATAAACAATCGTTCGATTTAATTTAATTCAAGTG